CCCCATGCCCATAAGAAAAAACCTCCAAAAAAAAAAAAAAAAAAAAAAAGAAAAGAAAAGAAAAGAAAAAGTATTCTAATTTCTAATGTGTTTATTAGTTGGTCCAGACTTACTGTATGAATTTAGGTATATATATTTATTGTACTACTTCATGTTTACTCTAATGAGAAATTGCTTTAAACAAAAATAAAACTACCAGTAAAATGAAAAGATATCTACCTTAAGTGGGAGGGTCATATTTTTAAAAAGTGATTTTTGACTATTTGAAGAAGCAAGCTGAGAAGCATTTTTTTAGGAACTCCATTTAAACATTTTTTTTCTTATCATGAATCACTTTAACTACTAGTGACATAATTTTTTTTAATTCTATAAATTATACATGATAATAGTGACATGATCTCTTTCCATTAAAAACTTGATGATAAAAATGAGTACTTGCTAAAAAGTTCCAATGAGTACAGACAAGTCAAGTTAAATGGCTTTAAAATGAAAGTAAAATTAGAGGGGTACCATTTCTTCCCTGCTTCCTCATGTCTGCAGTGATATATCCCGCTTAACTTACTTCTGTTTAATTAAGAGAAAAATATTAAAAACTTTTCTGGGGATAAAACAAATATATACTTTGTGAACACAGGTCCACATAAATGCTTGCCTTTATAACTTCTTCTTAAATGTCAAATAATGTCAAAATGTTTACAATAATCATAGTGCTTGTTGTACTGTTATTTTTGTTCTAAGATTGTTGTGTGTTTGTATGTCATGGGATAAAGCTGATGAATAAATTATATTAGTGACTCTGGAAGCTGCAATTGTTCATATGGTAGAAACAAGAAACTGATGTAAGCTAAATGAGGTGATATGAAACCTAGTATCCCTGAATTTGAATATAAAATTTTGACTTGAACTCATACAATTTTATATTTAAACAATATTATAGCATATATTGTTTATATATTGGTTTTGTTCAGTGTTCACAAAGAGCAATCCAGCAGCAATGCATGCTCATAGCACCAAGATTATGCTTTCTTGACTACTTAAAGGAATCAAAGTTCTTTGGAGAAATGTCTGAATCCAGTTCTGCATCAGGATACGTACAAGAAGAGCCTGAAATATCTGATAATACCAGGAAGCAGAGGAGTTATCTAATACTACCAAAGGCACATCAAAAGGATAGGAAGCCAATTTGGAAAGGTCCTCACAGGCTGAAAGAGGACATTTTGAGCACAAGGATATAAACATAATTGATTGAAATAATTCAAATACATTTAAGTATAAGCTAATATGTAAATATTAATGATAATGTATGTGCAGTCACCTTTGGAGGAACTAATGCATTAAAATTGGTAAAGAGATCAGTTGTGTCTTCTGTCTCATGGTAACCAAATAGTTAGGGCAAGTTTCTCTTCATGAAGTATATCAGCTAATAAATAAACATGATAAAATGTAACCATTTTTTACCACTAATGAATTATTGGATATAGATAATGATCATTAATGGCATCTAACTTGAAATAAAGAAAGAAAGAAAGAAAGAAAGAAAGAAAGAAAGAAAGAAAGAAAGAAAGAATAAAACTAGAGGAAAACATTCTCCCAAAGCTATTCTCTCCTAATTCTTGTACAATCTGAGACAGTGTTGTTTTACTGCAACCTCACAGCAAAAGCTGATATGTGATAAAGACAGAGGAACAAAGACCATGCTAAGCTCTTCTCTGATACCCCCAAATGATTCTAGGGCTTAGAGTTATGACTGGGGGATACCCTGAGGGCTACTCTAACTAATGAGAAACCAAATAGATCTAATTAATTGCCTTGCTCTGGGCTAGTGAGAGACCAGACATTTCCAAACCTCTTGAGAATTGCCATATTTATAGAATGGTTCTACATGTTTCTTTGAAGCACCATATCTACTTCTTTTATTTCTGTTGCCTGTCTCTTTGGAAAGCTTATGAATCAAAGCTAAACTTTGACATTATTCTTGCTAATACAAACAGTAGAAGGGACCAGTATTATGGTTATTTCTGTGTTATATTTCCATATAAAGTTGTATATTTTTGGTGCTCAAAAGTAAAAGTTGCTAAATTCAAATCAACCCACATTATCAGTAGGAGAGTTGATTCGCCTAAAAATATTAAATAATTATCAGAATTCAGATTATATCCAGAGGGATACAAGAAACTGCTTCCTCTCAAGCACATACCTGAATATAGTTAAAAGTTTAGATTGAATATTATTGAACAGTAAAAGATATACATTTTGAAAAAATCAGAATATGAATAATAGAATTATAACTGATGTCCAATTAATCCGTGGCATCGCACAAATAAGCAAAACTCACAGAAAATTTAAAACCCTAGCCATCAGTTTTAGTATCTTCCTTCAAAATCCTTTATTAGAGGTAGATATATAAGCCAAGATCAACTGATTTGTAATTACACATTTCCCCCTTACAATGTTTATCTTTCTAAAGAGGAGAAAAAAAGGCTAGCAATAGAATTGTATGGGAGACAAAGAGGATTAAAAGGGAACAAAGAGAGGAAATAGGAGAAGGAAGGGGAAGAAGGAGGTAAGCAAGCCTCAAGAAAAGGAAGAGAAAAGGGTGGTTACGGAATGCTGCATAAATAATAGAGGTAACACAAAAATGCAAATTGTTTTTTGGATAATTGAGTGAAGGGTATTTATACTTCATTTCTCTTTAAGAATCCAACTGTGAATAATGTTAAATAATGAATAATTTCAATATGGTATTCTGTTTAACATATTGATACCAGGTTATGGTATTCAAGATAAGGTCTATTTGCATGCAAGAAGGTATGCAATCTTATCAGAGAATCGATAGCCTTTCTTATCTGTGGTCTCAGGTAAAATTTAGTCACAATTTCCAGAGGAGTTTAGATCAATGCATACTCCTGAAATTCCTTAATATTTTTCAGTTTTAAAACAAACAAAAAAATGCATGGACTTTCTCTTTCAGCTGAAACCCAATTTAATCAATAGCAAACTGAACTAAATAAGAGAAGATCTAAAGATATCTCAGGGAAGCATCCAGTGTTTCTAGGACTCTTAAGCCAATCAAAATAGAACAGAAGGTATTGTAGGTGGAAGAAATGGGACCTAGTTGCTGGCTCATCAAGTAATCATAATAGTCAAAAACATAAAAGAGTCAGTTTAAAAAATAACTCTGTTAATTTTATAGCTGGAAAAAAAAATCAGCAAAGGATTTAGCATAAAAGCTAATAAAAGACAGTAAGACTGTTTCAGAGAAGACTCACCTGTCTTTCCCAGTTTCCTTCTTAAAAACTCCATCGCAGTAACTCATGCGCTTCTCTGTGGTCACATAAATTTGGGCATTTGGATAGACATCAACAGTCTTTCTCAACATGTTGTAAACGATGCCATTGCCATCTTTCCTCATGTTGCGGAAAGGCCCCCAAATAACATAAATAGTAGTATTTGCTTCTTTGAAAAAATAGTCAGGATTTTTTAGCAAAAGAGGAACACTGGTATGGGACACGACTCGAATTGTTGTCATGCTGCCAACATCTTCTTCATAACTCTTGGTGGGGGCATTGTTCATTCTCCAAATGCAAGAAGATCGATCTATCTCATTTCCCACCTTCTGGCCAATCATCTGACCTGAGTTTGACACTATGGCACAAAGGTCACAGTCCAGTTGCAAAGGCTGAAAAACAAAAAGAGAAAGAAGGCAGAGGGGAAACACATGTAAATTGGTTAATTCCAGCTAGTAAAACAATTTTCCTCTAGAAAATAAAAAGTACTGATATTATATAATTGTTCGACACAGAAAAATCTCTGATGTGTACATACCAACCCTACAGTCTGCTATAGATAATCAAGGGAGAGGTATGATTCCATTTAAAATGTAGTTACATCATGGTAAAAAAAATTAATTTCTACAATTCCCATATGTCAGTTTAAAATTAAATAGAAAAATAGTCTTTTGTTTTCCACTCTAAATGATAAGCTGTTTAATTTCAACTGAAATAAAGAAATATGGAAAGATTTTATCTCTATAATAAGGTTTGTGGCTATAAATTAAATGTAAAAGAAACATATGTATGAATCTATTCTGTATTTTACTTACAGATATGAATAGTTAGGTAGCATTTGATAAACATATGAAGAGTTCAGCAAATGATGAAGCTTGGAAAGGTTTTCAGAACTCAGAACTGTTTAAGACATGCCCCACGCTGGCAACATGTCTTGTTGATAAACATCTTGCTCATCCCTCTTCTATGAGAGTTCATATTTTGTATGTGACATTTGATCCTGAATTTGTATTGTGCCAGTTGGGAGTACCTCCTCTCATTCTGTATTGTTCCTATTTTTACTTGTTGTATTGTACTTTAATTTATAGTTTAATTATGTCTGTCCACTAGACAGTAGACTGTAAGAACAATGTCTCTTTAATTTTAACCCCATTCCCCAGAAGTCTCTGAAATACATTAGTTTAATATATAATTGGTTAAGTCAGGAAGTGAAAGGAATTGAATTAAAATAGCTTATTACGAGTTTGAATGATAAACTTAATGTTAGGGAAGAGATAAACTTTCCCAATTTACTATATCTAGAATTGTTGATTTCAGTGAAAAGAGAAACACAGTTCAGAGAAATCATATCAACATACCAGCAGGTTTAGTCTAGATGCTACAATCTACAGGTAATCGGAGAGAAAAATCATGTGGGTAATTATAATATGACTGCAACATATCAACTTTCCTATTGATGATAGATACTCATAGTAGTTACTGAGGACCTACTACGTGGCAGGCACAGTTCTGAGGGCTACAATTAGGTGTAAAAAGTATAAACAAAAATTCCTGTCCTCATAAGGGTTATATTCATATTCTTGGGGACAAGGAGGAAGGTAATAAACAAATCAAAATACTACAGAATATGTTAAGAGCTGATAAGTGCTAAATAGAAAAACAGTAAAGCAGAGAAAGGGTTTAGAAGATATGCTTGTGCATGTGTGTATGTATGCTTGTATGTATTGCTGGAGTGGTCAGAAAAAGGCTTCACTGAAAAAGTGATAACTGGGAAAAGATTTTAGTGAAGTAAAAGGGCTGGCCATGTGAATATGTGGCATAAGAAAGCATTCTGCACACTAAATGCAAAAGCCAATGCAGACAACCTGATGCAGGAGAGAAATAGGAGGGCACTGTGAAGAGAGCGAGTCGATATTACCATCAGAGACATGGCAGGAGACCACTTAGGGCCTTTGACTTCACATGAGATGAAGAGGCTTCAGGGCTCTCATCAGAAGAATGACTGATCTGAGTTATATTTTAGTAACTTTGGCTGCTGTGTGGAAAGTTGATAAAAAGAGGTAAGTATTGGAGCAGGGAGAACAGGTTAATTCTATAATCCCAGGAAGAGAGGATGGCAGCTTAAACCATGTTGAACATCAGAGTTGGTGAGGAGAAGCTGATCACATTCTGGAAATACTCTAAATATACAACCTACTGAATTGGCCTATAAATTGAATTGGAAAGGTGAGAGAGAAAAGTCAATGATAAGTTTAAGCATTTAGCCTGAGCAAGTGAAAGACTAGGGCTGCCTTTACTTGAGAAGAAGAAGGGAAGGCTTCAGAAAGAAGAGGATCAGGGGAGGAAAATGAGTTCATTTCCAGACTGATTAGATTTCAGATGTCTTGAACTCAGACTCTTGCACTAAATCTTATAACGAAATTACTCACACTGTTTTAAAAAACTACCACCACCCACCAAATTCTTCAAATAATATGAGCCTTTTATATAAAAAAAAGCTTGAAAAAATAAAGAATACATAAAAGAAGAAAAACTCTCCACATTCCCATTGCTCCACAACCACTACGAATATTTTGTTACAGTTTCCTCTTTTCCAGATAGATTATCTTAGATAGGTTGACAAATAAAATCTGTACAATTCAGCAGCTTTGGTCTTTGATTCAGTTCTATATTATTAACCTTTATCATGTCAGTAAATAGCCCTTAAAGACCAAAGATTCTTGATATTCCATTATATGGATATACCATAATGTGCCTATTTTCCTACTGCTGAGCATTTAGCTATTATCTGATTTTTTTCTACAATGAAAAAGTGCTTTGATGAACATCCTTCTGCTTCCTGCTGCATTTTGGATGTTAACAGTTACTATGTTAATTTAAATTTGTTTCTTTGATTTAGTTTTATTGTGTTCCTATAAAATATGTTAGACTGTCAAGGCATCTATTTTGAGACATCAAAATTACAAATTTCAGGAAAAGCTTAAGTTTCAGAAACCCACAAAGGACCATAGGTGAGGCACCTGAAACTCCACTAAAGGGGCTGTCTGTCACCCTGACAGTAAGGTTTCTGAAAGAGGAGCTGCAGGTGGTCTAGTCCTTAGATTTGAATACTCAAGGTAGCTATGTATAAGTACCTTACCTCACTTGTAAATAGGGGTTTATAGGTTGCTTTCATAGTGAAGACTTTACAAATGGCCAAATGGAGGCACAAGGGGATACCTGGTGGGGTCAGGGGTTAATCTCAGACCCTTCCCCATCCACTTAGGTGCCTACATTCATTTATGTTACAAAGAAGAACACAATATTCCTCCTTCCAAGCAATATGTAGCAGGGCCTGCCATCTATTACACTTAGTCAAGCCCTCCAACCCACTTATAGTCATGTAAATCAAAGCCTAATTTAAACAGTGTGTGTCCTGTGGCACATTTCCGACTTATCATTAAGATGCATATGGCCCAAGGAGGTTACATTCCATTTACTGTTCCAAGAAGTTGCTGCTTCCATTATATATGGGAATTATATAACCCATGTCTGGGTTATAGCCTCCACAAATTAAAAAAAATCAAAAAGAAGAAGGAAGAAAAAAGAAACAAACAAACAAACAAAAACCTTGGATGTATTCTATTCTATAAACTCCCACAATTTGCATTGGATTTCTCAGTCATTATAGTGAATTAGCCAGTTCTGCTATAACAAGGCCTTAATTTAACTAATAAGAATCAACATACGGGTCTCACTTGACAATTGTAACCTCTGAAAGTGATCAATTAAGACATCACAATCTGTTTCACAACAACATATTGGGATGCCACAGCTGTGCAGATTATGAGGTCAGCAGCTGACTAACAACTTGAGAGCACGCACTGGGAACAGCAGCCTCTTGTTGATGCGACAACATATAACCGGTCAGAGTGCTGTAAGTGTAAGGCTTTGGGGGTTGATGGTGATCTCTAAATTTCCCCTTCACTTTTTTTTCACTTTTCACTTAATCATATTGTCAATAAGGCCAGAGTCTTAAAGGACTTCTACATATCTATGCTTCTTTACAATCCAGCCTAGCTATCTGACTTCTTGAGTGAGGTACCAAGAGACATAGCCAAACTCAGTGACTATTCTGTTTACCACTTAGTTATAGGAACTAAAATTTATGACAGATGTGCTGGACCAGATGAAGGAAACATTTCTCATCATAATCAAACGCTTCAGGTAGCACTAAGAGCTTGCTAAGGCCCAAGGGACTCATTTACATGTTTGAAGCCACCTTCAAACTACAGTATCCTATGATAAAAAGGATGAAATATCTAGCCTGAATGGATGGTTTGACCCAAGAGCTGCTCTTATCTAGTTATCTTAGTTTCTTTCATTAGCTTTATTGTTTCATCTTTTGAACTCAACATTTTGTTGGAAAGTGCCACTGTAGTCTTGAACTTGTTGATGTTATTTGGTTGGGGGTCTTGGCTTGGAAATGTATTCCACATGCCTCTACTCCCTCTGTTCTGCCTCAGTAAGCTGGTACTCTTTCTATCTAAATATAGTCCCTGGATTTTCTAAGATCTTTGTTAAGATTTATCTGGTTTCATTTTACCAAGCTTTATCTTATTTTTGAATTCTCCTTTTTAGTTGAATGGTCTCTATTTTTGTTTCTTTTCATTAAAAACAAATTTATCGGGTCAGCTCCATGGCCTGATGGCTAAGGCAACTGGATTCCACAAAATTTTAGTCTATAAGGAAGAACATGATAGTCTTCTTTCTATGGCTTGAGTCCCAGACCCTGCAGCTTACGAAACATGCTGGGCATATGTGCGTGCATGCCCGAATCATGAAAGGAAGGAGAGATGGAGGAGAAGAGATTGTTGTGACCATTTCCCATGGGAGGTGCTTTCTTATTTCCCTCTCTCTCTCTCTGTTCCTCTCTAGTTAGCACACACATACTCTAGTATAAATAAGTAAATAAATAAATGTATAGTGCAGCCATGCTGGGAAAACTCATTTTGTATGCTGTTATGATATACAGTGATTAAATGTAAAATAAAATATTTAAAATAAATAATAAAACTTGTCCTCTTCATTTCATCTCTTGTGTCATCAGAACATCTTATACACTCAAAACACTTTGGTTGGGACCCACCTTCAATGGCAACTTGTGCTAAGATTCTGTGTTTTGCAGACTAGGAGGCCTGGATTCAGTTCTCTGTTTACCCTAAAAGACTGGGTGCAGTGATATATGCCTGTTAGCCAAGTGACTCAGTGAGGCCGAGACGGGATGATCATGAGCTAAAGGCTGGCCTAGGTCATGAGAGAGACTAAAAATGAGCTGGGTGTAATGGCAAGTGCCTATAGTCTCAGCTAGGAGCCTCAGGCAGGAGGACTGCAAAACTGTGAGATTCTCTTT